CAACAAAACAGGGCATGGCGGTGAAAAGTACTTCTCGACTTTTGTTGACGACTATAGCAAATGCGCGAGTACTTATTGTATTAAAAATAAATCTGAAATTGCGAATTATTTAATCGAATATATAAATTGTGTTGAAAATCCGTTCGGTAAAATATTAAGACAAATTCAATGCGATACGGAAAGAGTATATGAATAGAGAAATATCGAACTCTTTGAAATTTAAAGGTATCAATTAACTACATGTCCACCTTACTTACACAAATTAAACTGCGCAGCAGAAAGATATAATAGATCAGCAATGGGCATTGATAGGTGTTTAAGGAGAGAAGCAAACATATTGTACATGGAAGGTATTGACCTGATGTAATGAATACAGCAGCATATCAAAGAAATCGAACAATCGCAAACACGGTAGAAAATAAAAAACCGTACGAAATATTTTTTGAAATAAAATCAAATGTGCAAAACTTAAAAATTTACGGAAGTCGAATTTTAAAAGAGTTGTAAGAAAAGTAGTAGTAGAGTTTTGTAAGAGTTCCAGAAACACGCAGAAAAAGTTAATGGGACAACAAATCGGGGTTAGGAATTTCAGTCGGCAATAACACAAACGGGTATAGAGTAATAGAAAACAACAGATTAATAAACGCGAGACATGTACAAGTCGTAGAAGAAGAAACGAAATAAATTTGCATCGCAAAAAACGACCGGTACGATAATGAAGATTATGAAAGCGAAATAAATGAAAATAAAGTAGATGTTGAGAATAACGGCGAAATAGAGGAAATAAAACGTACCAAATCGAAATCGAAATTATCCAGCCTCAGTCTACATAGCCGTATGAATTTTTCTACAATACCAAATTCTGACATAGCGGCGTGGACGCAGTTCTCTTTTCTCGCGGATATTTTCCAAGACTTGACATATGGTAAATATCCGGTCAATGGTTGATCTACCGGGTCTAAAACCACACTGATAAGGTGAAATCAGTTTGTTGACGGTGGGTTTAAGTCTTCCACACAATACGCCCGATAGGACTTATAAGTGATATTTACAAGTCTAATCCCTCAGTAATTGGAGCAGACCTTGAGGTCCTTTTTAAGAATTGGGAAGAGCACACCTAAATTCCAATCGTCGGGTTTGCTTTTGTCCAACCATATTCTGCAAAGAAGCTGATGCATGCACCTTGCCAGCTCTTCATCGCCATGTTTTTATAGCTCTGTCGGTGGGCCGTCAGCTCTTGCCGCTTTGTTCTTTAGGCGGGAAATCGATATTCAAACCACGTCAAAGTCGGCTAATCAAACGTCTTTTCCATCATCACCATTTGGAATTTCGGTTTCTCAATCTCCGGGTGTTCCATATTCACTGCCAACAGGCTGCAGAAGTATTCCCTTCATAAATTCAGTGTGCCCTGGTTATCTGTCATTAGATCACAACTCTGGGTCCCACAAGAGTTCGCTCCGGTCATAAAACCTTCCGTAAGTCACAGTCGGGTATTACCCTTATCGGCTAGCTTCTCAAGCTCTTCACACTATTTCTTGCTTGCAGAATTCGCCTAGCTTTTTCTGGTACTGCCGAATGCCGATTGTTTATAATTTGCCGTTCGCAGGGAAATTGAGATGACACCCTATGGTCCTCTTGTATCGAGTTGCTGATGAGTGCTTTCAGAAATAAGGTGTGCAAAAAAGTGGAAAACGGTTAGACAATCTGTTGCGATTGCAGCTTTCTAATGTCGAGCCTTGCTTATGTTTTTATCGGGCGTTCTTTCATACACAGTGGCACGTGCGTATCTTTGCTGATACTAGATTATGATCAGAGTCGATGTTCAGACCTCAGAACGTACTCACATCTAGAGACGATGCAGCTTGGTGAATTTTCTTGTGATGGTATCTGGTACTACTTACAACCACATATTGGGCCCAGGGGAAGTCCATCAGCATCAACAGCGTTTGGGGAGGCTAGATTTTCAGGCAAGTGTGCCGAAGATAGGCGTTAAAGTCGCCAGCACGATTTTCCTAAATAGCTCGAATATGCAAAGTTGACCAAAGCTGCGGTTGCTTTATTCCCATGGTCAAATCGCTAAGGAGAGAGGTCCAAGTCAAGAGTTTTGAGCAGCTCTTGGTGGGTGATTCCTTGCTTAGTCCATCAAACACCTGGCAAATAATGTTGGCTTGAAGACTGTTTGTGCCGGTGCGCTGTCCTTCGACCTCGACCGTTCTTCGGTTGATGTTTCTGTATGTGATCCATTTTTCATCACCAGTCACTATCCACTTCAGGCATACACCTATTTTTCTACGATTCAGGTACGATTTACAGATGGAATCACGGTGCATGGGTGTCTTTCCCGTTAGCTCATGTGGCACCCATACACTGAGCTTCATCGTAAATCCAGCCTCCTTCAATTGCTTCCAAAGTGCCCTTGGCAATCGGAAGAGTATCCAATGATGGTTAGACTCGCTGATTTCCAGTGTTTTATCGAAATTTTAACAAAGTGTCGATCTTTGCCAAACGCTCAAACACTATTAAGTTAAGTGATCAAGAAATCTCGCGTTATCTTTTTTAGTACCAAATATCTCTTTCAAAGGTCATCAAGCGTGAATCTCGAAAAGAACGCGAAAAACAGATCCCTAAAGTATTCTATTGCAAAAATATTGGCTTCTTTTTTACTATATTAACATATATATATATATTATATATATACATTGCGAGCGCCAGCGTAATTTGGTCTGAGAGAATTACTAAATGTTCTTTTATTTCGTATACCATCGGTACTAGATTCTTTTATACTCTGAAGCCGCAACTTTTCAAGTAAGCAAACATCTGTTTACAAAGGACACTTACCACTTCCTCAAAATTTTCATGTTCTTTTATTCGGAGCATCTCAAAGAGTTATGACTTACCATCAAAGTCTTTTGAATTGTGTAATAAGGCAAGCTAAAAGTGTGAAGCATCGACCCAAGTGGATCAAAGTCATTTCCTTTTGTGTGAATTATTATTAATTTGAAGTGGAAACTTAAAATGATTTACATTTACAGGAAAATAAGCAAATCGAGCTCTCGAAGTCGCTTACGCTTGCAGGGACGCCTCATTTACATTAACGTGAGATTCTGTAAGCCAAGTGTGTATAAAACATGAAAACAATTGGAAATCTTCAGGATCCTTGTCATTATCTACGTCATTATCGGATTCTCGAAAGAAAAGTTAAAACAAAAGCTGTCATTATTCGTATACCAGTGTCGGACACGGGGTGCTTCGCCCCATATCAGCTCAGCCTCAACCATCGCCAGATATGCCCTAAATATTTACTAACCAAGCAAAAATTTAATTTAAATTCTGACTGACAGCAACTAAAAGATCCAAAATAGGTCTTAAATAAAGCAGGATAAAGTCTAATGTGTTATAAGAAAAATGATAAAATGAATAACTTAACCTTCTTTTTCTTTTCTTTATTCGCGTCGGCACCGCTTACACGTTTGTAACCGAATCAATATTAGCGTGCGGGTCCTCTCTTCTTGTCGCATATTGGCGCCAGCTGGAAATACCAAGTGATACCACGTGATCCTTCCAACGTAGTTGAGGTCTGTCTCTTTATACGCTTCCACCAGCGCATACAGCATCGAATTTTTTCAAAGCTGGAGTGATTTCATTCATTCGGACGACATGATCTAGTCAGCGTAGCCGGTGTTCCTTCATTCGCTAACCGATGTCAATATCATCGGATAGCTTATACAGCTCATCGTTCCATCGTCTGCGGAATTCGCCATTGTCAACGCGCCAGGGCCATATTTCGTTCGCAAAACTTTTTTTTCAAGAAGACCCCCAGGACGAGCTCATCAGTTGTTGACTTCGTCCACGCTGTTGAACCAAATAGTAGGACACGTATGGTGGCCGACTTGAAGAGTTTCGTTTTCGTTCGCCGAAAGAGGACTTAACTTTTCAATTGCTTACACAGTCCCAAGTATCACCCATTGGAAAGAGTGAGTCTGCGTTGGACTTCAAGCCTAACAATATTATTGGTGTTAATACTGGACCCTAGATAGACGATCCTAAAGGAGCTTTTAGTGTTTCTTAAAGTCAGTTTACATAGCCGTATAAGTTTTGCTTTAATACTAAACTCGGACAAAGCAGCGTAGAGGCAGCTTCTTTTCATGTTGTCGAAGGCTTCTTTCGATAAAGAGGTAGTGTGTGTCGATCCACTTTTAACCAAGCAGCTCATGCTTGCATCTGATAAGTCCTTCACCACCGTATTTGAATAGCGGCAGTTCATCGGTCCTCGCCGCTTTGTTTTTATTTAAGCGGGCGTTTGCTATTCGCACTTCTTCATAGTCGGTCAATGGAACAACTTTTCCATCGTCATCAATTGAAGTCTAGAGTTCACTTTCAGGTGTTTCTTTTTCACTGCCATTCAACAGGCTGGAGAAGTGTTCTCTCCATAAATTCAAAATATTCTGGGCATCCATCACTAGCTAACCCATCTGGGTCCTAGAAGAGTTTTCTAGGCTTGAAATCTTCGGTAAGTCGCCGTATCTCTTCGTAGAACTTTCGAGGGTTACCCTTGTCGGCCAGCTTATAAAAGTACCTCTTCCTCTTCCTCTTCTTGTCTACAAATGTGTTTTGTTTCCTTCTTCAGCGCTCGGTGTCTATCCCACCCCGCTGGCGAGGTCATGTCATTCCAATGGGTGAAAGATTTGAAAGTATTCGATGCAGATGTCGAGGAAGACCTCAACTCCGTTGGAAGTATTACGTGGAGAGTGATCTGACTGCACTTGGTATTTCCAACTGGCGCCAGACAGCGAAAAGAAGAGAGAGATTCGGCTATAATCGCGTAAGCGGTGCCAACGCCAATAAAGAAGAATGAGGTCGCAATAGCCAAGTGGTTAGCATCCCATGCTGCTCATACGTAAATTACTTTTCTTCTACTTGTACTGTTTTTCTTTACTCTAATTGAAATTTTAAATAAAATTTTTAAAATCGATTTTTTATTACCTCCCACTCACCTTTAGCAACATCCGATTAATGTTTTATCAAGAATAACTTCAAAAAAACTGGATATCAACAGAACTAATCAACCAAAAGCAACGCCAACCTTTGGTATATTATGCAATGATGACTGCGAAGTAGCAAACATGCATATGCGCCAGTTAGGTGCATTGGTGTCAGCTGGTTTCGAAGTGTCGGCCATAGTTGGGGAGAATATATTAAACAAAAGCAGCAGTACAACGAGTGCGCAGTGTAGCACCATCATGAGCTTGGACGACAACTCTATTGACGCAGTTGGTTTCAAATCATTCGATTCCCAGCCGAAAAATAACGAAACAAACGTGGCCGCACAGACCAAATTGACGCTGAGCGAAAAGCCAAGACACCAGTATCAGCAAATAACACAATCAAAATTAGGTTTCGACAATGAGGGTGAACATCACTCAATTCAAAATGATGTAGTGATCTACCAAGGGGATAATAGGTTCAATTGAATATTTAAGAAGAATTGCGTCATGAAGAAGAACTGTATGGTAATAAAATATTCAGTAACATGAACCCAGTAATTGTTAGTGTCATTTTTTACAGCTATATAGACATATACAAGAATCAGGTATGTTCTACATATCTGTTGCATCTGATTTAAAAATTTGTTTCCAATTTTATTTATTCACTTTTTTTTGTCAACGAAAGATAAATAATTAGATTACCGTTAAAATTAATATTAATTAAGTTAGAAGAGAATATTCTCAATCCATCGCTTATTAAATATATTTGTTGTGTATAGCAACACACAACTTTATAAAAAGTGCTCTTATTTGGATAAATTTTCATTTTATTTGAAAGTATATAACTAAAATCGGACCCATCGATTGATGGGAAACTATTTTTAGCCAGAGAGGTAGAAAAATGAAGATAAAACATTGATTCCAAAGAATCCGTTATATATTATATCGTTACTGATTTCAATTATTTTTAATAATTATAAGAAGATAACAAAATTCGGTTTTCTTGAAAGCCAATGCAGCTTTATTAGCAAGTTCCGAAGCCTTACCAGTGATATAACAGCTGTACGGAAAGTATAAGGTAGAGTGCTGAAATCAAGCATTTTCGGTAAAAATAACTACATTTATTACTCTAAATCAATCAAAACGAGGGTCAACCAAAGCAGTACACGTGTAAGTTCAGCAAACCGCTTGCTGTAAACAATTAAAACAATTTAAATGTACTTGATTATAAGCTGTTTCAATATGTACCTACCAGTTGAGCTTCATATACCAGTAACTTCTTAAATTTTATAGATACAATCTCTTTATGCCATCAATTTTTTTTTCTTGAATAGTTTGGTCGAAGCTTTTTCACAATATGAAATAAAAGCTTATCCATAAACGTAAATAAAATGCAATTAATACGATTTTTTCGTGATTTTTTTTTTAATTCTAAAGTTGGAACCTTGGCATTGAAAGTGAAAGTGAAAAAACATTGGTGGGTATCTCAGCCATAACTTAACGGACATTTGAATCACAGTTTTTGTAGTAAGTTTTGACAATTTTAACGCAGTGCCCAGTTGTTAAACGATTCATTTCCATAAATGCCTGACTTTAACTAAAACAGAACATGTTGGGTTTTACAGATGTTTTTTATGTCAGATGCAGCGGCAATGTGTTCCGCGATATCAAATTTTCTTAAGTCCGTTATCTATTAACCAATTTATTTCTTATTTTATATGACTACTTCAGCTATTCCAGCTGTTTTTGATATGTTCATAAAAAAATATCAAATTCTTTTATTTGTAGCTTAGTTGACTCGATGGATAGGCTAGAAAATTTTTATCGAAATAAATTGTGAGTAACAAGTTTTTTTCTTCTATTTGTTGAGAGAATTATAATCTATGTACGTAATTCTTTAAATTGTTAGACACACTAGAGCACATCCTGTATGTGAAACTACAGCCATGAAACCAATATGCGATTCACAGACTTCAAGCGCAAACGACGTGAGTTAATGTAAAAATTTTCACTTATTTTGAACTTTATGCAAACGTTTTCTTACATATTAAAATAAACTTACGCAGCTGAGATCTACCTTAAATTCGGGAGACACAGTTGCTGCTAAGGTGTCGTCAGGCGAAGCAATTATTTAATATAAAATTTAATACGAAAATGTCAAGTTTCAAATCTTCATTTCAACAGCCTTTACACTTAGAACAAAAACATTCATGTAAATTCAAATTAAGTCTCTGAAAATTAACTTATTTCACAATATTTTATCAAAAGTACTTTTGACAGCAATGGGAAAATTAATGAAAAAAAATCAAATAAATGATAATAAAATAAAATTAAATTGCAGAAACTTGTTTCATGGCGGTCACACGTAAAAATTTCTGAAAAAGCCATTAGTTTATAAAAAATAATACGAATCTATTTAATGCTTGTATGCATATACAGACATACAATTAGAATTAATCAACAGGGAGGCAATACAATGGCGGAACGGGATGTTGGCTTAACGTTACTACTGCCACACCTAGTGTATATGAGCCTGATTTGGTAAGAACTTGTTAATTATTTCCCCCATATAGATACTAAGCATTAAATTTATTCAAAATAAATTTGGTTTTTACAAAACTTCTTATATTTATCTTTTTCAGCAAGGAAGTGATATATACGGTTTCGATTCAATCTAACATTCAAAAGATCGAAGAGATAAATTTTCAATATATAAATATATATATGCAAGTATGTGCTTACAATAGTGTGGTAGAAAATATTGTTAAAACCTATTATTACACGAAATGATTAATATAATAGGTATTTGTGAATTTTATACATATGTAACATATACATATGCACCATTTTATGCCAAAAATAACTAAATATTATTGGTTATTGTAAATAGTTTAGAAATGAGCGACCTATATACATATATGGCATATATTATAATATATATGTATATAATTTATTTATGAGATTTTTTATATTAGAAATATAGAGCTATTCATTTTGTGATTTTGAAAGTAAAGTTCTTTATTTTGACATCTGTCAAACTTAACTGTCAAGTCAATCTGGTATTGTTTTAGTTAAAAGCCAGGCATTTATAAAATAGATCGTTGAACAACCGCACAATGCGTTAAAATCGGCTATAGAATTGTATGTCCTGTGCATCATAGTTTTGCTCGTTTCACCTCAAATATCGCTAATGTTAATGAAAGTGCAGACGACAACCCTATCTACCATAGTTTAGAATCTGCTTTTATGAGTTAAACATGTGATCTAAATCGACATCGAACTAATGCTCTAGATACCGGGCAGTGCAAGCAATTTTACTTGTCAAAATTTCCTTAGCATTTCAATGAGTTTTGAATCTGAGAATACAGTCGAAATGTTTGTTCAAAATGCTCGAAAAGGTCTAATTGCTCCAGTTCGTGCTCGAAATTCTTCGAGCAATGAGCAATGAACAAGTATGCAAGTATTCATTGCTCAAATACTCGAGCTGCTCAAAAATGTTAAGACAAAATCCTAAGCTTACATCGAAGATACATTGTACATGGAAATTGCTTTGATTTTTAACAAAATTCGTACAAACAATTAAATATTTATATACGCATTTATAAGTAAATTTCAAATATTACTTCCCTGTCATATTTCCATCTTGATTTTTACATAATTTTCTTTTAACACAATGCTTTCGGAAACATTCGTGTGAGCCAGTACTGAAAATTACAAGCTTAAAGAAAGTATATTTTTATACAAACATGTAGGAAAGAAATACAAGCTGACTAGAAAGACTCCTAGTGAGAAAACGTACTTTGGAATGCAATTCTTCATATTGACTTCTACACACTAAAGCATTGAAAACATAGGGTATAACGTACTGCCATTCTGAAAAGCTGGAATCGGGTACGAGCCACCCTTAGCCAAGGAGTTTCCAGCCTTACGGGTGTGAAATACAATAAAAGCTCCTCTTAAATAAACAGCTGCTCGGAGGCGGTCAAGACGAGCACCTCAAACGGGAGGAGGTTCTGCTGTAATTTACTGAAAAGTAGAGTAGAGTAGAGTAGAATGGGTCGTAAAACATTGCGGAACACAATGACGATAATACATTTTTAAGCCTTCTTTAATTAATGAATGGATTGTTTTGCTCAATATGGTCCAAATAAAAATGCGATTATGTTTTTGCCCCTTTACACAATATAATCTTTTAATCTTATGAAAAACTTTAGAAAATAACAACTGAATATTCGTTGGATAATCAGAACTGCACAATATAGTTTTATAGCTTTATCTTTTTGGCAACACTGCTTTAAGCAGTGTGCGCATGTTTCGTGTTTCGTATCAATGTCAAACATCTTCAGCTTGGTTTATAATTTAACCATGAACCGTCTTACAAACGAACAACTTGACAAATTTTTCGTTTGTTAGAAAATGTTGCATTTGATAAACATCATTTTCCTCATATTTTGATTACTTTTTCTGTCTTGCTAATTAAAACAAAAACTGTTTTCGATCTATTTGTATTCTCGTCGCTCTTTGTAAAGAATTTTAGCATTTTTAGCAGCACAATCCAGGACTTTACGGTAAATTATGAATTTCCATCATATCAACTCCAAATTTTGTTTTGTTATAAATTGGAGAGAGTTCGGTAACATTTTTTATCAGTTCTATCAATTTTTACAAATTTACGTGCTATCTTCAGGATCAGATGTCTCACTTTGAACATAATCCGATTAAACTTCAGATAATAATTCCCAATTTGCTGTATCTGGTTCTATATCGGAGCAATCTGCACCTATGTTCTTAGCTTTTCCAATAACTCTCTTCTCTCCGCCATTTCTTTCATGAACCTAGGGCTCAAAAGAAATCAACCGAACAACGTGTTAGACCGACTATCACTCCATAAAGCAGGATATAGCATTGATGCTGATGTTTACTTCACAGTCGGGGACATAAAAGTAACATAACTCGCGTTCAAGGGGAATGAGATGCGTGGGCAGGCTTGGTATAAAGATTCGAATAACAAGTCCCGTACGAGTGACGGTAATCAAAAAATATATGTATAAACTGTTATGCGAATTCGGAACCGATGCGGTCATATAAGAAGTTTACTCAACCCAATAACTGCTTTTCGTCATTACAGGTATAACACATATATGTATATACCGGAAATGAAAGAGGGGGAGGCAACAACTATGATTTATAAAAGCATTTATAAGAAGTTACAATATTCTAAGAAAGTGTGTCTTTAAATATATACAATTTTTTTTTCTGATATAAATTGGAAAGCACTCAAAATGACTTCCTCCGGCAATCTAGTGTTAAGAAAGATCATCGCGCGCTTCTTCCGTGCCCAAGCTCATTTTTGGCTTAATAGGTGCGTAAATAACCACATTTGTCGATTTTGGAGTGAAGATCAGCCAGAAGCACTGCAAGAGCTAACAATGCATCCAGAAAAAGTCACAGCTTGGTGCGGTTTATGGCTGGTGGCATCATTGGACCGTACTTCTTGAAAGATGATGTGAATCGTAACGTAAGTGTGAATGGTGAGCGTTGCGTCCTAATATGCTAGAGATTAACTTGCATGATAACTTGAATGGCTTCAAAAAGACGGTGACACATGCCACACAGCACTCGTAACAATGGCCATATTGATAGGCGAGTTTGGTGAAAATCTTATTTCACTTTCGGGATCGGTGAATTGGCCGCCTACATCGTGCGATTTAACGCATATATACCATTTCTTGTATATATATACCATGTTAAGTCTAATGTCTATACAGACAAGCCCGCTTGAATTGAGGCGTTGGAGGACAACATTGAAGTATTTATTCGTAAGATACCGACCGAAATGTTGGAAAAAGTATGCCAAAATTGGACAAGGCGGATGGAGCATTTTAGTCGCAGTCACGGTCAACATATGCATGAAATAATCTTCATACATTAAATTATATGGACCGTACTATCAATTCGAATAAAGATTTCATGTATTTTTCTGAATTGTATGTGTTTTTTTTTTTTTGAAAACTTTCCTACAGCTCTTTAAATATCACCCTTTATTTGCATTATATATGTTTATTTTTTCAATAACAGAATGTATTAGATTTTAGATAAGAATAATACTTTTTAAAGTATACGTAAGATATAAGATCACGGCGTTTGCTTCCTTGCAACTGTTGACCCTGCTAAATGCTGCGTGGGTGACAAAAAGTAAGAGTACGATTAAACATTCGATAATAAAGCGAGGTAATTAAAGCGTTTACATTGGAATGTCAGTTATTTACAAACGTGATCTTTTAAACTTTATAGATTTCATTTTTATATTTCATTTTATAAAAAAAATAAATAACTCTTTTCCCAAATAACACACATTAACTGCATCAGTTA